CCGCTTGAGACGCACCGCTGTCCGATCGTGCAACCTCATTTTTAATCATTAATACAACCCCTTGATACGACCCAAGTCCACGACAAAAGACTACGCTCCAACACTTCTTCAACGACCGGTCAACTCTTTCGAGCACTAGGGCCGATGCGTATTCACCACCAGCGCTTTCCTGACAAGACCTTCATTCACTGGCACGTTCACTTCCCAGCTGCGACTCTTCACCTGGCGCTGTTGATGAGAAGATGAGTTAAAGCTAGGCCTGCCGCTGCCGCGGTTGACTCATCATTGAAGGCACCAAGCGAGGTCGATCTTTACATTTTCTGGCCGACGCTTTCGCTGCATCAGACCATGTCTGACAGAAGAGGAAGCAAGTCGCTTGAGTCACACAGATCACCCTCAAAATAAATTTGCATTAAAATTTTAACCTGGGTCACTTCTGAAATCGACAGTGAAGTTCCTCTCAAGTCTGCGTTGGCGCCCTAGCTTTAACTCATGACAATGTATGACGAGTATTTATTACGCATTCGATGTTTCTTGTCATGTGATTAAAGGACTCCGAGCGATTGGAAGCTCAATGTTTGAATGACTGCTGTCGATTACGAGTGCGCTTGTTCATCTGAGACAATAACGTCAGAAGTGGCGTGAAAATAACACCGAACTTATTAACATTCCGGAAGCGGACCGGAAATACCTGTTCCCCAGTCCGGACACTCAACTTCCGGTCACATCGGTATATATGATTTCGCCATCGCTGCATTCGACCATTTAAACGCGTTTAACACATCATCTGGGTTTTTGGAAGATTGTCGTTCAATCATTCACAGCATTGTATCAGTTTTGAAAACTTCATTCTAATAATAACTTCATTCGATTTATTTCATAATCCTTGCTTTAAAGGATATGACAACTACTTTGGTCTTTCGCATAATCAAGGCTACAATCACACCTCTCCACCTTCACTTATTTGACTTACAGCGTCCTCTATGATAATAGAGTAATTAAGTTGGTCATTGTTTACGCTCTTCAGGTCGTCATTCGACTCTGCCATGTTTATTTAAGCGTACTGGAAAATTAACTGGCACATTCACCTTGACAACAATGTTTAAACAAACAGTTCTAATGTATCACTTTTCTGTATACGTATGTATTATCCGATATTATGTGATTTTTAATGACAGATCACAAACCTATACGAGTCTTTATTCTTATCTTCTACCTTTAGGACAAAAAATAACTCTCCACTCTCCTTAGGTTTCATTGGCCTATGCCTATGGCAGTTCCAGTGGCTCGAGAAAATGAATTTGACTGACTTATTTGTTGTAGTACTGCCCTTTATTGTACGTATTTCATCACCATTCTGGCGAAAAGATAAAGCCTGTATAAAATACTTAGCAATTCGGGTATCTTTTGGATCTTCTCAGTTAACTGTACCGGCAGATTTTTCAAGAAGGTCGTTTTCGATACTTAAATCATTGTGTCGTTTTGCCAAAATTTCAGCCTCAGAATTTTTTAGGATAATGGGATTCTTGCATCCCGGCGAACAGGCAAGAAGTGCTTAATGGAACTAGGCCTTATCCTAATCTGCTTTGAGTTGATTCAATAAAGTTTATTAAAAACGCCACTGGTTGCAATTATTGTTTCAAATAACGGACCTGAAAATAATATACAATTTTTGTTTCATAAAAGTGACGAATATCATCTCCCTCTCATAATAATGAAAACACTTGCGGCTTTGCATCATTTCGCTATTATAGCAGGCCACTGCAGTAGTACTGTAGCAGCCGGCTACAGCTAGACGGTTGGACGGGTCAACAAAAACGAACGCAGGTACGGGCAAATCAAAACAACGATGAAATGCCACTCACCCTTGTATGTGCGACATATGAAAAGTAACACATATGGTAATGACCGGAAGCGCTTATCCGTAACATCTCAGATAGGAAATGCTTAAGGGCCAAATAATCGACGCGAAATGATTGGCCCATAACGACGACCAAACGAATCCGAAGGATATAACAGGCCAGTTCAGCACTATACAGAGATAATGATATTGGTGGCATGCACGTTGCGTACGACGTGATGGAAAATAGTCATCCATAAGGGCAGTGATGGACCTCATCAGTCAGTCCGTCACTTTGTGATCAGTCTGGAAGAAAGAGTCATAATTCCTGGACCTGGTTAGCCCACTGGCGTACCACCAATAGGGAACCATCTTACCCCCCCCTCCTCTACTGAACTTCACCGGTTGACTTCTGGACGAACAGAATGGAATCCTCTACTGTTGGAAACCCATTGATTGCATGCAGATGATGTAGTTAAACATTAAGGTCTACTTGTTGAACTACTGAAATTAATGTCCATTAAGTCAATATCGAGTGTCTTATATCATTCTACATGCTTTCGTTATGAATCGTCGTCTTCAATTTACAGGGTAAACGACAAAATAAAAAGTTCAGAACATTTCCACAGTTCTTCAAGGGAACCTAGGAACTGATTTTCGATTAACTTTAAATTTATAATTACTTTGTTCAAATAATTATCTTATAATTATTTGCATAGGCTAGTTCAGATTCAGAGTACGCGATCACTGTTGAATCCGGAGGAACATCCACCACAATCTTGCATA